TTCTCCGTCTCTCTCTCTCTCTCTCTCGTTTCTTCTCTCTCTCTCTCTCTCTCTCTCTCCCTCTGTCTCAGTCTACCTGTCGCACAGGACGTATGGCTGTGCTGATGTTGCTGGCCTAGTTTCATAACCTTAAGCTGTAAATGATAATAATCCTACCTTCAAAGTTGTGGTGTTTCCAGTATATTAGTAGCCGGGATTGTGTTTCGATTTACCTAGTTGTTAAACTCTATTTATTTAAACGTGCGACACATACACCGTTCTATGATCTACGGTAGCGAACGGATGCCTTCTTTCCTTTGACTTTGTGACTGTTTCCTTGCCCTATCTTTCTTCTTTGAATGAGATTTGTTCTTGTTTTATTTGATGTTCTTGTTTTGTTTTGTTTTTCCTGACCTTGTCGCGCCAGCCTCCTTTCTTTGATCGCAAACTATCTGTTTAGGTGCTTTGACCTGAAAAGACGAGGAAATAAAACCGGTTTTTATGCCAGGACGACGGAAGAAAAATTACAAACGCCGGTGGGAGCGAGTTAATTCTGGCTAGCAGAGAGCGGACTGACAGGGAGTAAATGAAATGGAACAAAAGCGGAGAAAGTAAGAGAGAGAGGGGATTGGGGGAGGGGATGAGAGAGAGGGGTGGGTGGGTGGGTGGAGAACAACAGTGTGCAGATTTTTTCTGTTGTTTTCTTTTCTAGTTCATGATGTTCCCACCTCTCTTTGTATTGTTTGAACAGGCCAGCAAAAACAAACGTTTGGGCCATCTCTGAACGGTGGGTAACGCTCTTGCATTGTCGGGCAGAATCTTGAGCTGATTATTTTTGAGCATTTGAGCAAGCCGTGAAAGGCGATTTATGGCCGTTGCCAAGGGATGGCGCTGTAAAATATTTGCCGGCTGAATTGTCTCTTGTTGCGCGGGGTTATATCCCGACGTGAGTGCATCTCACGGGACTTCCAGCAGAGACAACCGTTGCAGGGTTGGGGAGGGGGGGGGTCTGTATGCATGTGCGCATGTGTAGGATTACTGTAAGTTCTGGAGAGAGAGAGAGAGAGACTGGATGGGGAGGAGACTGCTGGGTGGATTTTCCAACTGTTTTTTATGTTCAGGGTTTAGGATAGTTTCACGTCGTAAGTGGTGGGGGGGGGGGGGTTTCTTTGTTGAGAGGCTGTGTTGTGTTATCGCTATTGACCAGCTGTCTCGAGAGAATCGTCACTGCCACTACCATGGTCACTTTTGTCAAGGAAGTAGATAAGCAAGTCCATAGAAGGGGTTAACATGAAGCGAAAGAAGCAGGCCACACAGAAGCAGTTGTCATTCGTTAAAGGGTGGCCTGCCCGTTGGGGAAAAGCAGGGCAATATGTTGAAATAACATTTGGGTAGGAAAGAAATACAATGTATAGTAGGTTCTCCTTCCAACCACCCGTACGAAACTGGATGATTGAGACCTGCTGAGCCCTTCAGTGCCCTGGTTTGCTTTCAGTGCAGTGTGCAGCCCTTGCATTCACATTGGCGTATGTGATGTTATGGTGAGGGTTACTCCCTTGCATCCAAAAAGCGTGAGTTCGATTCCCATGTCGGCGAAATAGTTTGTGGTTTCTCCCCCCCCCTCCCCTCCACTAATAATTATCTCGTTCTTTCTGCTGGGCTGTGCGTGTCTCCCTCAGTGGGTTGTTGAAGGACGACACTTCCCCTCTGTTGTTTCTGTCAGACCGACCGACCGACCGACTTTTCCCCTGTAACTAAAAGGCCGTTGTCTGGATATGCTTCTCACAGAAACTGCTTCCTCCTGAAAGTAAAAGATGTAAATTGTGTCGATGTAGGCGTTACAGTTGTTCAGCAGAAACTTGTCCTTTTAACGGATGTTGTGACACGTGTGGATTGTTTGTGAGCAGCGGTCGACTCCCAGCCGGCGTGACGCCCCACATAATTTGTTGTCCTTTGTGCCGCTTTAATAGTTCCTGGCTCCCGAGTAATTCCTAAGCGATATCGATCTTGCAATGAGTGTTCGTAATGAGAGATAACACACACTGTTTTTCAACACGAGAAAGGTTAATCGTTTAGACGTCTTAGTTATGTTTGTTTTTTGTGTTGTTGAGGTCCAGTCTACAGCTGCTGCCTGCTGCGCTGGGCAGACCATTTTGCATTTTGTTTATGTTGGGGTTTTATTAATAGTCTTTTTATGGAAAGGGGGGGGGGGGGGGGGGGGACAAAACACTGTTGACGATGAACTTGAAGCTAAAAGAAATGAAAAAGGTCAATTCGGTGGAATAAGCTGGGGATGGGGTAGTTTTTCACGGTTTCAGACTTTTCCATGGTTGGCGGGTGGTCTGGTGTGGTTTGCTCCTTCTTTCCTATCAAACATCTATCGTCCTTATCTCCCCTTCTTCTTTTTTACGTTTGTTACTCTTGAAACACCTCTAGTCTCCTGGCGCTCTTATGACCTTATGCAGTTACGAGCAGCTTAAAACCTCTACTAAAAAGAAGAAAAAAAGACTTTTCCCCTCGGTCCTACTGCAAACGTATGTTGGATCATGGATCATTTCTTTTAGATAACGTGAGGAAGCGTAAAACTCTTATTATTGTACCCTAGGAAGGGATGAATGGTGGACGGGACAGTGGACATAACGGTTCTGTCATACTTTTAGCGAAATATTAAAACCAAGAGTGGCAATATCGAACGTTTATTGGTTTTCTTGCATTACTTTCACACTGGGAGATTTC